GGAACGGGAATGGGGGGGCGGCTCAGCCACGGCCCCCCCAGTCGGTTCCTGTGATGCCTGGACCAAGGAAGGCCTCGACGAACGCCCCTCACTTTCCCCACCTCCGCTGCAGGGAAGCGTTGGTTTCCAGCCATGCGATTGGCTTGCAGGGAGCTAATTAACCTAATTATCAAACCTCATTAAGGAAGAGGTTTGGAAGGCGAGAGACTTCACCCCTTCCCACTTCTGGAGCGTTTCCACTCCCTTCAGGACCGGCCATCGCACTCCGCTCCATCCTTTCTCCCGCCTGGAAGAAGCCGGGGATGAAGCTCTGCGGGGGCACGGTAGGATCCTGGCCCCCTCCTGGTACCCTCGGCCGATGAAACCCCTCCAGCCCTCACAGCACGCTTACCCGGCTTTTTTCCCCCCACAAGGTGTAACCTCCAGAAGCCACAGCTTGGGAAACGGGATCTAAGCTGGGCTGGGAAGCAAGGAGGAAAGCCAGCGGATGGGAAGCGGCGGCTGCGAGGTCCGGCTGACGGGGAGGAAGAACAGAGGTGAGAAAAATTTCTTGTGCTGGGACTTCGTTTTATTGCAAGGAAAATACAAAAGTCAGCTAGAAGCCTTGGAGGGACCACAGTGTGCCCTGCTCGGGGGGAACGAGGCAGGCCCCCGCGAACCCCGCCGGGGGCTTCGCAGCCTGGCTCTCGGGTGATCGTGCATTCCTGGTGGCAGAACCCTTCAGCAGCTCACAGGCCTTTGCCGGTGCTGGTACAGCACCTCCAGAGATTTGCTCAACACCTCTGGGCTCCAGGCTGGAGCAGAGTCCCCAGCAGACCCCGCCAGATCTCTTCGCGTGACTGTCGGGGCAGCAGCCCGGGGTCTCCTCGCTCAGGGATGTTCATTTACAACAGCACAGGGGGATTTACCTGGATTTCTGGCAGGGAGCTACCCAGTGCTCCAAACACCGGAGCGCAGTGGTGTACAGAGACAAAACTCCAGCCTGCAGTACCGGGTCCACGTGCGGAGCAGCAGGGAGGGCAGGGGCCCGGGCATGCACACATGGTGCCCCAGCCTTCCGCCCAGCCCTGCCCCTCCAGCCTCCACCCTGACCTCTGCCAGCTGCTCTTCAGCCCCGACACCCCATTAAACCCAAGCCGCAGAACCCACTGCTGTTCCCAGTTTGGGCTTTTCTTCAGCTGTGACAGCCTCTACATTTGCATCCACGACTCTGGTGCAGAGAGTAATGACTTTGAAGTAACTTCGATGCAATAAACTATTCGGATTCCTAAGAAAGGGGGTCCACTCTGGTTTTGCGTGACAAACAAGTCATTCTGAAGATGTAAGTATCTACGAGATGCTCCTAAGAGCATCTTCAGACCTAGCAACTCAACATTCATTCATCAGCCAAACATCCAGAGGGGTGGACAGGCAGGACCCCACTGGGCACCAGCAACAAGATGTGGAGAAGCAGAAGGACAACTCTTCCCTGCTCTGTTTCCCTTTCTCATTACCATGCTCCAGCAAATGCCATTCTCTGACCTCCCTGCTCCTCTCACCGCGAAGCAGCTCGGATACACACCAAGAACGGATCACGGTTCCGTTTCTCCACTAATCCAATGGGTCAGAGGAGTCTGCGACCAGACCCAGGCCCTCTGGAGCGAGTACCACCTGCCAGGAGTAGCAAACTGCTTAGGAAGTTGGAGGAAAGGATGACAGGGGAAAGAGGAGCAACGAGTGTTTTTACAAACTACTGCACAGAAGAGATCAAAATCAAAGCAGCAGCTGGCAGGCATCTAAGAAGATGGTGCACGCAAGCATGTGGGAAAGGCTCGCACACAGGAGTTGGAGAACACTGGCCTTGAGCATCTACAGAGCGTTTGAGAGCTCCCTCTGTCACACCCAGTCTTTACAGCGTGTTTCTGCTGGCCAGCAAACTGCTCCACTCAGGCTGCCTGGGCAAAACTGACTCCCTACACAGTCACACACTCACACCCACGAACGTCAGCAGGGCAGGGAGCAAAGCCAACGCGAGACCACCGCGTGGGCAGGGGCAGCCGCCTCCTCCTGCATCACCACTGCCGGAGTCATTCGGCCTTCCGAAGAGACGATAAACGTGTGCTGAGAATCCTTCACTCCAACCCTTTCTCTGCTGAAAGACAGGAGATGCTCCTGAACTCCCAGGCACAAACACTTGGCAGCGAGGACAGGGGACAGCCCGAAAGAAGTGGATGACAGCTCTGCAAATGCAGAACTAGAATCGTGCGTGCAGCTGGTTCTCTGATGTCCAGCCCCAGCTTCCACACAAGGTGGTGCCATAGAAGGTCTGAGATTTTATTTCAGTTCGGGCCACTCCCCCAAAGAATAATATATTCTACTTCAGCCCGCTATAGTGATTCCATCATCATCTGTTTCTGGATTGAGCAACGGTGCTAAAATATCCGCAGGGGAAAATGGCACCAGTTTCTCCACATGTCCAGAGAGCTCAAGGGCTGCTAAAACATACGCAAAGAGCTCAATCCTTCACCTTCACCTTGAGCTTCAAGCAGACATCACACAGGAAAACGTTCATCAGGTCCTGGCCAGCCTCCTGAGCAATCCTGCTGATGACCTTACCTCCTCTTCCAATCAACATCATCTGTATTAAAACCCAGAGAGAAGATCATCATATTCATCCTTACATCGCTTAACTGCAGGGAGGAATCACCCCAGAAAACACCAGTACGGCCACAGAAGCAATTAAAAGGGATACAGCAGCTAGGGAAATCCCCAGATCAAACCATGGGCAGCTTCAGGAAGGTGTAAGCTGTGCCTGAACAGCCCGAGGCTGCGTCGGGCACCTGGCTCTTCCCAGCAGAGACCCCACAGCTGAGGGAGAGGAGATCACAGCAAGGATGCACACGGCTGGACCTCGGAACCTGCCTTCACGCTCCCCAGCACCCGGTCTCTCTTCTGTTACTCACCATGTGAGACTTCCTTGGGACCAAGAGGTTCTGCATGATGACGAGCTCCCCGCTCGGTCCTTCCTCCCACATCTCCGTCACCTGCAACAGCAAGCACGAACTCAGCAGTTCTGCCAAGCGCCCCAGGAACTCCCGCAGAGACGCCAGCTCAGCTCCCTGACGCGAGCACGCACGCGTGGGCCCCTTCAAACATGCAAAGGGTCTCACAGCACCCGACGTGCAAGTCCCAAGCCACCCCGTAGGGCCTGTAAAGAGTTTCAAACTCAAACAAAGGGATTCTCATCACACAGTCTGATTTCCAATAAAACAGCTCGAAGGCAAGTCTGCTTGTGTGTGCTTCCCACCTGAATCACGCCATAGGGCACCTCCAGGGGCAGGTACTCCAGTATCTTCTCCCTGATGATATTATCACAGATCTCTTGAGGTGACTGGCTGGTCAAGACTCCGCTGTGAAACTCCCAAGGTCCTGGCTTGGCTTGCATCAGGAGGTACTGCTGTCAGCACAAAACACACATCACGCCCATCAGCGGTCACACAGCACTCTCGTGGTGCCACCAAGCCCTGTGCTCACCTTGCAGCGAGTCGCTGTGAGGACGCCGCTGCGAGTCAGGCAGCAGTTTTGTGTCTTTGGTGGGGAAAGGAGAAAGGGAGGCTTCTGAAACTCAAACCCTGCTAAAGGGTCACACCTCCCTAAAGCTGTTTGTATGAGCTGTAAAAGCCCATAGTATCCCTTGTAGCTAAAAGATGACACATTGGGCAGCTTCATCATCATGAACAGGCTGCTGCCTGGAGAGCCCCAGGCAAAAGTTCTGCACAGAAAACTCTGGAGATACAGTACGGACGTACTCCACACCAACAGACAACACTTCCCCCCATGCACCCCAGGCCAAGAAGAGCAGCTCTGCCACTTCCTCACAGCAGATGAGGCTCAGTATGGAGTATCGGGGTCCCACAAGGGTAAGAGCCCACCAGTTTCAAAGCACAATGGAAGCTCAGACTGCAGTTACCTTGAGTGTATCGACCTCCTCCCCACGGCGAGCTGCCAGCATGAAGATCTCCTGGAAGCACGGCCAACCTTTCATGGTTTTCAGATCTCTGGGTCCATAGCGCTTTGGCCCTTCTGCTTCTTCTGTGGCAAGACTGGACTCGGAAGCCCTCACATCACTGCTGTTGTCCAAGCTAGAGCCTTCTCGGGCTTGATCTGCTTCCCGCAGACAGTGAGACTCAGGGGCCCTGTTCTCAGGTGGAGAAGCCTTAGCGATCTGAAGAGGAGACTTTGCTGAAGAACTGGAATTATGCTTAAATGCAGATGCCACTTCCAGTTTCTTCCCATTTACAATTCCCTCTGTGAGGTCAGTCACTAGTTCCAGCAGGATGAACTTCTTCTTTAGCAGATCCACCTAAAGTGCGAGAGGGAGGTGTCAGGAATTTGTCCTAAATGAGGCTGGCACCTGGGCCCTGGATCCAAAGGAGCCGGAAGAAACCACCCAGGGGAGGCAGCTGCTGCAGGACAAGGCTTCTGCAACACAACCGGACAGATTTCCAACGGGAGGCCAAACCAGAGCACGTCCGCAGTTCCAGTGCAGTCAGTCCAAACACCGTCAACTGGACACCAACCCCACTGCGGTGCCAGCTCCTGTCCCCGGGTTGATCCAAACCCCAGTCTGCAGCACACTGCTCCAGGGACGTGTGCGCATGCAACGCGTACACACACATACACGCTTAAATATTCTGGAGCCGAGGGGGAAACCGGTGTCCTTCAACACAGACGGGCTCAGTGACATGAAAACACATTGCTGCGGATGCCGGGCACCGTCTGAAGACGCCGGCATAACATGTTGTAGAAGGCAGAAGGAACAAGCTCCTCACTTACCTTGTTCAGAACGAGCACACTGGGTATCTGGGGAAACCGAGAAAGACACTGCAGCACCTCCTTGCTCAGACAGTTCCGCGTCCAGTGATCCGATACGTCCACCAAAACCAGAACTGCCAGAAGAGAGTGAAGGAAATGTGATGAACTTGCATTTTCCAAAATGTCCATTTTCAGCTTCTCTACAGTCTACTTCCTTCCTGCTGCTACTTCTCTCTCTTCTACAGGTGGATGGAAGCAAAAAGGAGCATTTTAACGGTTAAACCAATAAAGTGCTGTTTATATCTGTCATCCTAATGACATCACACATGCTACAGCTCAACATCCAAGTCCAATTATTAACCCAAGCTGCCTCTTCTCAGCACCAGGAAATTCTTAACCCCTCCCCAGCTCAATATTTCAAGACTTTTCGCTGCCCTTCCCTTCTACCTCACGTTCCCAGAGCTGCTTTTGCTGCCCAGTAAACACCCAGATGCCACAGCTATAGGGCCATAAACTTCTGCAGTAGATAAAGGGTTTGGCTTGACCCAAGAGGGGCTGAGTACCCACCTAAATCTGCATGTTTCATGCTGTCCCATGGGTCTGTCAGCATGGCTTCATCTAATTTATGTCTGAAAGACAAATGCAAATGAGTAAGCCAGACACACTCGATCACAATCATCTTCCCTCCCCTCAAAGCGGGGAAAAAACAGTATTTTCCATCATTCCAGCTGACACAAAGCTGCCTTACGGGCTGTGACATCCCTCGTTACATGGACAACCAAGCATAACAGGGCTCAAGGGATTCCACAGGCTCTGTGTGCTACTGAAACTGCGACAACAAAAAACTTCAGAGACCAAAATAAGGCTAAAAATATGCATTCCTGTCGCTCCTATTTTACAAACTTTGCACAGGGAAAATCACCCTCCAGTTTTATTGAACCTCGACAGACAGGAGACCCCCGCTCTGCCCACAACAGCAATGATACCTTTTGGCTTTAAAGTGACTGGTGAGGCCAGGGGTGTCCAGAATGATCTAGAAAGAGGAAAGACAGATCTTGTAATATGCCTGCAGTTAGCGGCCAAACTAAAACTCATATTCGTGCAATTAGAAGTGAACCCATGGGATACAAATGAGAAAACCTCACATCTTCTGGGTAACACTGCCCACTGCCCCCAGCAGGAGCGGGTCTGGGAGCTTACCAGCTGTGTGTCCTCGTACGTGACAACGCCCTTGGCTTTGCATCGCGTTGTGTGCACTTTCTGAGAGACGGGGAAAACCTGTAAGAAATTAAACACGTTGCACAGCCAGAATATGCCAAATAAGCGGTTTAGCAGCCTGAACGTGTTGCTCCACCCCAGCTTTACCTTTCTGCCCAAGAGCTGATTTGAGAGCGTGGACTTCCCAGCGTTGGGCGCTCCGATGATGGCAATTCTCAAAACCTTGGGGTTCTGGGGCTGGTCAGGCCGATGCCGTAACAGCCGGTCTTGTTCCTCTGCTCGGGGAGAGAAGGAGCTTGAACGCTGCTAAACCCCCACAGCAGGTCAGGG